AATCGCCGAAATTTTTCTCTAATCTTTAACAGTATGAACAATTTTTGTTACAAAAATTTGATTTTTTTCAATATAGATTTTACGGTATTAACATTTGTGCAACATATTCGTATTTTTTTCAGTTATTGCATATAACTTTTCTTATCTAATTCAAGCTTTCTAATGTGGAAAACCTTGCCTATAAATTAGCACTAAATATTTATATTTATTTATACTTGCTATTAAAAATCTTATTTTTAAACTAGACATATAAAATATATTTTTAGAGGCGCACTCCTACTGATGAAAGACGTGATTCTACAGAATCCGAAAAGGAATTTAGACGAAAATATCAATCAGTTAAACACCGATTGGTGCACAGACGTTCATGCATGGAAATGTACAAGAAACCACGAGATGGACAATTCGGTAAGTTTCGTTTACCTATTCGACGTGATTTATGTATAAGATAAGTAATAGAAATGCTCCTATACGCTGCAGAAACTTTTTATGATATTAAATTTTATTAATTTTTTTACTTTTTTGCCCTACAATATTATTGCTAGTCTCTCAAATCCGCAAATTTGAAGAACTTTTAATTAATAAAAATGTTAAATACAATACAATAAATATTTCGCTTCTATTATCAAATTAATACTAGTTTAATAAATATTTTAGAGTAAATCCCGACCAATTCATCTGTTGTATTTGAAACAGCAAAATAGCGCTGAAAATATGCAAATATTCACAATATATTTATCTAATATATTGTTACAATTCAGCTTACATAAATTTTCAGTCTAAATGAATTTTACCCAAATATTATAAATCATGCGTATTGCTATAATACAATTCAATTATTTAGATGATATTATACGGGTTGTAGAGGAAAGATAATATTTGAATTAAAGCTCAAACGGAAAGTTTGCGATAATTAGAGTAATGTCGCATTATTTTATTTATGAACTTCTTCACATTTATGAAAACCTTATATTATATATAAATAAATACACACACATATATATATTATATATATATATATATATATATATATAAATTTTATGATATGAGTGGAACGAATATTAATTGTTTAATATGAACAAAACAGCACTCAGATTTATTTAACACAACTTTATTTTATGATTACAGACGTTTCGAGACTATGGTGTGTCTCATCTTCAGTGTAATTTCAAAAACAGTTACTTATATACTACACATTCTTTAATAACTTATTTAAATTTCATTTAATTTTTGATATACAAAAAACACCACCTATTCCTTGCAATGCTTGACACAGTACTAAAGAAACACATAACACTTACAGAAATATTCTAAACAAATTTGAAGTGTCTAGATGGAGACAGAATGGATATCATTATAATGTAAACAAAAGGAGTGCTATCGCATACAAAAAATCGATAAAAATGAAAAAAACAAATTAATTTATTGAAAAGAATAAGATAAATGAAAAAATTTTTATAAATTATTAATGATGTTTATATAAGTGTCATGTAAAATATTTGTGTCGGTTCTTAGATTTATGCTATTGTTAGTCCGAACTATTAACATTGATTCTGCCATGCTCCGTTTAAATAAGTCTTTCTCATGGAATAAAATTTGGGGATTGTCAAAATCAAACTTATGGTTGTTGATATTAGCATGATCCACAAGTGTACTTTTAAATTTTTTGTTATCTATTTTTTCACATTGCAATTCATGTTGCCTGAGTCTCTTTTCTAAGTTCTGGCAGGTCTGGCCAGTATAAGAGCAATTACAATCCAAACAATTTACTTTATAAACTATATCTTTCTTTTTTGTTAATGGAGTTTCATCTTTAATTTTGGAATATAAAAACTTTAATTGTTTTAATGAAGAAAAAGTAATACGAATATTGTGTTTTTTGAAAAGTCTTTTTGATAATTGGTTAAAATTATTGTCAAGATATGGAAAATTAATGAAAAAGTTTTTTCAGGAACACTTGTTTTGCCAGGCTCTTCCGGTTTCTTATCAAAAGGTTCAAGTAATTTTGCGACTCTATTTTTAATAATTGGACAAATTAACTTATATGGAAAATATTGCCAAGTAGGATCGTTTTAACTAATTTTATGTTTGTATCATGAAACAGAGGATCAGATAATAAAATAGCGTGATCTACAAGATTTAGAATGGTAGAAATTTTTATATTGAGAGGAACATGCGAATTAAAATTAATGTATCTCCCGGACCAACTATCTTTTCTGTACCAGTCTGTATAACATACACCGCCTCTATTAATGAGTTTTACGTCAAGAAAAAGTAACGTCGAATCATTTTCAAGTTCCTGAGTGAATTGTAAAAAAGAATTGTACTCATTGAATTTGTTGAAAACATTATCTATATCTTTTTTATTAAGTAATATTAATGTGTCATCGACATATCTGAAATAAACCAAGGTTTGGAAGGTAAAGAATTTAAGACATGATTTTCCAAATCTTGTAATACTAAATCCGCCAAAACAGGACTTAATGGGCTGCCCATTGGACAACCTCTCTTCATCGTATAATATTTTTTATTAAAAGTGAAATATGATGCTTTTAAAAGTAATTCTATTCCTGAAATAAAAATTTCCATCGGTAAACATGTGAATTCAACTATTTGTATCCATCTTTTCTTTATAGCTGTAATAATTAGATAATGCGGAAGATTATTAAATAAATTAATGACGTCCAGGCTCATAAAGGAACAATCAGGAGGAATTACTTTATGTTTTATATGTTCTATTAACTGGAAAGAGTTATTTAAACGGTATGGAGAATCTATGGTGACATTCTTTAAAATATCTGAAAAATATTTTGCTAAAAAGTAGTATGGCGAATCAATGTAGGAAACAATTGGTCTAAATGGGCAATTAGGTTTATGGATCTTTGGAAGGCAATAGAATTTTGGGGTTAAAGGATGTTGTACTTTTAACTTTAATGATGTGGTATTATTGATATGTCCCTTTTTCTCTAATAAATTTATAAATTTAAATACTTGTCTATGATGATAGTTGTTCGGATCCGATGCCAATTCTTCATATAGAGATTCATCACTGAGAATTTTCTTTGCTTCTTTATCATATTCCTCTTTTAACAAAACCACTGAAATGTTTCCTTTATCTGCCTTACACACTAATAATTGTTTGTTATCTTGAAGAAATTTTTTTGTAGCTATGATGTTCCGGTAGATGTAAGATGTATCATTCTTGCACTGTACTTTGTTTTTGTGAGTTTTTTGAAATGTTGTAAATTGTTTCATTAACATAAATCTTATCCGTTCGATTTTTTTTCCTTCTGGATCTTTGATTAATTTAAGGCCGGCTTCTAGGCTGCTAATAACTTTAATTGAATCATTGAATGTTAAAATTTTTTGTTGGTATTGAAAACTTTGGACCTAGAGCCAATATATATTTTATTAAAAAAAAAAAAAAAATTAAAAGTACACTTGTGGATCATGCTAATATCAACAACCATAAGTTTGATTTTGACAATCCCCAAATTTTATTCCATGAGAAAGACTTATTTAAACGGAGCATGGCAGAATCAATGTTAATAGTTCGGACTAACAATAGCATAAATCTAAGAACCGACACAAATATTTTACATGACACTTATATAAACATCATTAATAATTTATAAAATTTTTTTTCATTTATCTTATTCTTTTCAATAAATTAATTTGTTTTTTCATTTTTATCGATTTTTTGTATGCGATAGCACTCCTTTTGTTTACATTATAATGATATCCATTCTGTCTCCATCTAGACACTTCAAATTTGTTTAGAATATTTCTGTAAGTGTTATGTGTTTCTTTAGTACTGTGTCAAGCATTGCAAGGAATAGGTGGTGTTTTTTGTATATCAAAAATTAAATGAAATTTAAATAAGTTATTAAAGAATGTGTAGTATATAAGTAACTGTTTTTGAAATTACACTGAAGATGAGACACACCATAGTCTCGAAACGTCTGTAATCATAAAATAAAGTTGTGTTAAACAAATCTGAGTGCTGTTTTGTTCATATTAAACAATTAATATATATATATATATATATATATATGTATATATGTATGTGTTAAATTTGTATAGCTAACAAATTTAAGACGATGAAGCGTGAAAATATATTCTGACATTAAGCAAAGGTATTTATATCTAACAAAAAGGTATTCGAAACAAACGATAAAGACGACATTCTAATCCCGAGGCTTGAATTAGTTGCGTTATTTTTTTCTATTTTTGCCATTCATGAGCTATTGACTTATGTTTTGAAAAACTTTATAAGGACATACGGAGATACAATTTTTTAAGAAAACTTCATAAATAAATCGTTTGGTTCTTTTTGGCTTGCGACATCAGCACATAAATAAGCATGACCCCAAAGGAAGCAAATCATTCATCGTAACCAACATTCACCGGGCTCAGAACGGTAAAAGAGGTCTTTGCAATAAATGCAAATTTCTACTTTTTACCGGTGGATACTTTGGACTGGTTTTAGAAGTAGTTATTGTAAAAGTTAAAACCCAATCGCGTTTTACAGGTTCAAATGTTTTTAGCCTCGAATGAACTACCATGGAACTACCCTGTAGTTCTTACGAAATTTCATTTTGTCCGAAAGAAAACAAAAATCAATAAATAATGAAAATTCCATCAAACACTGATAATTGCAATAAAACTGATCGAAATCACTAGTACTGGCATGAGTTCATTGATTTTAATAGAAATAATTATAAGTTACAATAAACAAGTCCCAAGAACATGACAAAACCAACCTCAAAATAAACTTTTGAAGGCGAAATACATGTTTAAAGTGATTACTGCGATCAGGTCAATATGTGATTTTGTTCATATATACCATTCTGTCCGTATTTTATTTACTACTTTTTGCGTCCTTATTGCAAATTCCATATTGAAAAGTTAAACGAAAGAAATATATTACTGGTATAGTCATTAAATAAAATATATATTACTGTACAAGCGTTTAAACAATTACATGCTGTTGGTAAATTTAATTCTGTAGCAAGTGCGCCTGGGCTTAAGTTAAGTTCAAGTATCATCAACTTTCCGTAGGGTAAGTTATAGTAATCGCAAAACAAGTCGAAAACAATAATTTTATCTCCACGTTTTAAAGGTTTTTGAACATTTTGGCATACTTTAGAAAAAATGGGTGTATGTGTGTGTGTGTGTTCGGATACAAATTTTTCCCGACGATTTCGTGAACATAAATCAAACGACTTAAATATATCAAAAAACATTCGATTCGTATTGACGGGAAGACCTACTGATTAGTTTTTGGCAGAGGCAGGTCCAGCCGTTTTAAAGATGCGGGGAAAAAATTGCTAAAAATGGTAATTCAGTTTTAATATCACGAAGCGTCCGATTTGAATGATTCAAAAAACATTTTATTTGTATTGACGAAATGAAATACTGATAATTTTTTGGGAAGGTAGGTTTAGCAGTTTTGGAGATCGAATTAAAAAAGTAAAAAAAACGCTATTTGGGATATAGCTTTAATAATAAAAGCAAATTTTGTTTACATTTATATGGGTTCCGTACCAATGTTTATCAGATAGATTGCAATGCGGCGCTTATGCTCATCGACATGTAGTTACTACGGAGCTAATGCAGCGCGATTGCTTTGAAAAAATGTTCAAAATTTCCAAAATATTTTATAATATAATCTTTTCAAATGTTTCAAAATTCTCAAAAATCAAATTTGTTCAAAGTTTTGAAAACATTGTTCGTTATCAAAAAAGATTTTGAACATTTGAATTTTTAACTTCCCGTAAGGCAAGT